TCCATATATTTCATTTGGTTGTTTTCTTTGTTTGGTTTTTTATTGAGACAGAAGTCTCACTCTTGCTGGGCTAGAGAGTGCTTGCGTCAGCCTAGCTCACAGCAACCTCAACTACTGGCTCAGCTACCGAGTGTGGACTACAGCATACATACTTGGCCTGCTATTTTTTCTATATAGTTTACTGGCATTAATTTTCCATTTTAGTAGGACAGGGTCTCACTCTTGCTCAGGCTGGTTTCAACTCCCTGACCTTGGTGATTGCCTGCCTCAGCCTCCAGAGTGGTAGTTACAGGTGTGAGCCAATGGCTGGCCTCATTTGGGTTGCCTTTATCTCCTTTTATTTCCATCTTCATTTTATGAGCATTTAGTCAATTCTATTTTTTCTCTCCCATACAAATAACCTTTAAAATATTCTTCCTAGTAGTAGAATATGTATTTATATTAATAATTCTACCTTAAAATAATATACTATGCGCTTAGTATAGTGTATAAATATACTCAACTCCATCCTTGCATGGTTTAACGTGATGATATGAGGACTGGGAGGAGATAGCTGAAAGACACACCAGCAGAGTGTTCTCGCAAGAAGGAAAATTTAGATGAAGGATAAAAAACGAAACAGATAGACAACGATGAATGCTGTGGAAGGAAGGGTGCTGAACCATAGAACTCCATGGGAAGGGTTGTGGCAAAACTGGAAGGAAAAGCGGTTGGTGGGATAGTCAAGAGGTTGCGCCCAGAAGGAAGGGTAGGTGGAGCGTTGGTAAATCCCCTCCTTGCATTTCCAGGTTTGGTGGGTCCAGTATGAGTTGTGACACCAAGTCCAGAGATGCTGCCGTCAGAGGCTCTGTGACGGGGAGCCAGGCTTAAGCTGCCCAGGGTGCTCCACATGACCTATGGCTCTTACCCACGGCGCCTTTGTCCTCCGGGGGCTATCAACTTCAAGTTCCATCTGTTGCTTATTCCAAGTGTTTCAACTCTGGCAGATGAGGACCGCCCGTGGGTCGTTGTTGACCCCAGAGTCTCGATAGAACAAGATTGTGATTGAAAAAAACAAAAACACAAACACAAAACTTCTGGCCTCAAGCAATCCTTCTGCCTCAGCCTCCCAAAGTGCTGGGGTTACAGACACAAGCCACCATTTCTAGCCAGGCAACTTATTAGATGGCAAACACCGCAATAGACCAGGTGTCAAAAATCAAAAACTCTATCATATTGTACCTAAGCAATACAGGGGACTTCGGTGGGAGCTGCTCCCAGTGCCTGGCCACAGTGTAGTGCTGAGCTCCAGCGTGGAAGGCTGTGCTAGGCAGCAGGCAGTGAGCCCTGGGGGCACCTCACTCGCACTGGCCTTGTAGGAAGATGTTCTTTTCTTTTCTTTTCTTTTTGCTTGATATTGGGGATTTTTTTGGTGTTTTTTTTTTTTGAGATAGAGTCTCCACTCCTGTTGCATGCTAAGCAGTGCCGGTGGGTCAGCTAGCTTCACAGAACCTAAACTCCTGGGCTCAAGCATTTACGTTGGCTCAGCCCCCGAGGTAGCTGGGGATACAGGCATTGTGCCGACATGCCCGGCTTAGTTTTTTGAATTTTTAGTTGTTTGGTCTAATTTGTTTCTATTCTAGTTATAGTCGGCGGGTCTCGTTTGCTCAAGCTTGGTCCTCGAACTTCCTGAGTCAAGCTGATCCTCCTGCTTTGGCTGGCCTCCCAGGATGTAGGCATTACAGCGCGTGAGCACCACGCCTGACCTCTAATATTGTTCTTTTTTATTATTCTGACAATCTCTGGTTGTTTTATTTTTTTTTGATTTTTTTTTTGGACAGAGGAAATACGTGAAGTCTCGCCTTTGTTGCCCAGGCTAGAGTGGGAGTCCATGCTGTCCATAGCTCGACAGCAACCTCAACTCTGGGTCGGGAAGTGATCCTTCTGGCACAGCCTCGCCGGTAGCTGGACACAGAATCGGTGCCCCAGTGCACCGGCTAATTTGATTCCTAATGGTATTATAGGATCAGTTGGCCAATTAAATCTCTTACTATTTATAGAGAGAGGTTCTCGCTCATGCTCAGGCTGGTGTTTTGAATCCTGACCTAATTGAGCAATTCCGCCGCCATACGGCCTCCCAAGAGGCTAGGAGGGATTACAGGCGTGAGCCAAGCGCCTGCCGTGAAATGAATGGATCTCCTGTCTTTTATTTGGGGTATTTTAGCTATTTACACTAAAGTGACATTAATATAATTGCATTAATATCTACCATGTGTGAATTTTGGCATTATTCATTGGTGGTTGTCTTGTTTGGGGTGTTTTTGGAGACAGAGTCTCACTCTGTTTGCCTGGTACGAAGTGCTTGCGTCAGCCTAGCTCACAGCAACCTCAAACTCCTGAGCTCAAGCCTCCCGAGTAGCTGGGACTACAGACATACACTACTATGCCTGGCTAATTTTTTCTATATAGTTTTACTTGGCCAATTAATTTCCTTCCATTTTTAGTAGAGACAGGGTCTCACTCTTGCTCAGGCTGGTTTCAAACTCCTGACCTTGAGTGATCTGCCTGCCTCAGCCTCCCAGAGTGCTAGGATTACAGGTGTGAGCCACTGCGCCTGGCCTCATTTGGGTTCTTTACTCCTTTATCTTCCATCTCTCATTTTATAGAGCATTTAGTACAATTCTATTTTTTATCCTCTCACCATACAAAATACACCTTTAAAAATATTGCTTCTCCTAGAGTAGCAATATGTATTTAATATTAATAATTCTACCTTAAAATAACACTATACTGCTGCGCATGTAGTATAGATGCTTCATAAAAGATTATACTCAACTCCCTCCTTGCATGGCTTCTAACGTTGCTATCAGACCTGGAGGCAAGATAGCTGAAAGACACCACCAGCAGAGTGTCTCTGCAAGAAGGAGAAATTTTAGATGAAAGAGAAAAAAACAAACAGATAGACAAACAGATTGAATGACTGTTGGAAGGAAGGGTGCCTGAACCCATAGGAGACTCCATGGGAAGAGGTTGTGGGGCAAAACTGGAAGGAAAAGGCATTGGTGGGAATTAAGTCCCAAGAGGGTTGCAGACCAGCAAGAAGGGTAGGTGGAGCAGTTAAAATTCCCCTCCCTTGCATCCCAGGCTGTTGGTGGGCTCCCCAGCTACTGAAGAGTCTTGCTGACACCAACCCAGAGACTGCTGCCGTCAGCGAGCGGACAGCTTCTTGTGGACCGGGCACCAGGCTCTCAGCTGCCCCAGGGTGCCTCCCACCCCATAGACCTATGGCTTCTCTACCCACCAGGCACCTTTGTCCTCCCTGGGGGGCCTCAACCCTTCAAGTTCCATCTTGCTTATCCCCACACAGATGTTTCCCAACTCTGGCCCAGACTGAGGGAGCCACAGGGGCCCAGTGGGTCCCCGCGCTCTGTGTGACCCCAGAGCTCAGTCATTCTGGGCAGACTGACTCCCAGAGATAGTTTTGGTGACAAAGAGTGTGCTGACCTTCCTCCACCTAGACATTTATTTTCCCCTTCCTTTCCCCGCCTGCGGCTGCCCAGAGAGACAGTGTAGCCCCCACACAGAGGCATCCACAGGGAATGGGGCTTGGACCTCTCCTTTCAGGGCCTGCAGTGGGCCCCAGGGTGCTCCAGCCGTAAGCTCCCTACATGCCGGCCCTTCCCGGTGCTGCCTGCCTCCAGCAGAGTGGGGCAGACCCCGAGGCGGAGGGATGTCGAGCCAGCTTGGGAACCCCATGAGTGACTTGGGACCAGCCTATTTTCTTTTGCTTTAAAGCCACCTGATGATTTGGGTGCTACAAATGCCACTGCTCAGCACCTAGTTTCTCTTGACAAGTGGAGCCAAAAGGTAACAATGGTATTTGATTATCCTATGGGGTATTGGTGAAAAACAGATCATTGGTTGGCTTCCAAATGGTATTGGACTTGTGGCACAAAAGCCTACTGGTCACCACCCACAGATTGGACAGCAGCTCTCTGCCTGCTCCCAGGACTGTGCGTGACATTGCTGTGTCCATTCGGTGCCTCAGCTCTTCCTCTAGGAAGAAGGGGACCATCAGATAACTAATTCAAGCAGGAGAAAACAAAAGCAAAAACCCCAGACTTAACAGAAACCCTAACCACTCAAGAGGAATTCTTCTTTCCTCTAGCCTCTTCATATCATGCTTTACAAGAGGCCCAGAAAACAGGGAGTCCTGTATGCCAGGACTCAGAGACTAGCAGGGGAGTGAGACCATGCCATGGGGGCTACAGACCTCCCCACCCAAGAGGTTCATGAAACATACACAAGTTAATGGGGTGCCCCAAAACCCAGTAATCAAAATAAATATTTTAACGAAATATTTTACAAAATCAAAATCAATGCCAAAAAAATCAATGAACATAATGTCAACGTTTTAAGCAAAGAAGGATCAGTATCATGTTGTGCTGAGCTGCATTGCAATCTGCAAGTAAAGGAAAAATCAGTGAATCAGTGAGGCTGATTCTGTCTTTATTTAAAATGTTGATAATTTGTTCATCGTGAATCTTTTTTCATTGATTCACCGCATTTGCCTCACCGTAGCCTGCCCCTGCTTGCACTTGGCCTGCTGGTAGTTCAGAACAGAGCAGACTTAGATGTTCCAGTGTGTTCTGCAGGGACTGTGTGGTGCTTTGCAGGGAAAGGCAGTGCCTACACTCCTGCACCCCTGTGTGTGATCTTTGAGAGTGCTAAAAAGATCCAGGATGAAAGAGAAGGAAAAACCAGAACGTAGCTACTGTTTCTCAGGCTCTTTATATTGGGGATCAGGTCTGTTCTTTTGGGTTAATCTGAAGCCACCTGATGCGGGGAGAGGAGCCAAGTACACACTCTGATCCTCACCTTTCTCTCAGCGTTTGCAAATGCTGCCATGCAGGTGCTGCCCGCCACGGCCGCCCCGCCGCGCCGCCCTCCCGCCGCCAGGGGGCGCCAGCGCCCACCCTTCTCCCGCGTGGGGGGGCGGTTTATCGCCCCTTCCAGCAACTTCTACAAGGACCCGGAAGCAAGTGGGTCCCTGAGACTCGCGGGCCTGCTGCCCGCCCTCTCACCCCCGCCTGAGGGGCAGGAGGAGGAAGCAAGGGGAAAAATAAATGAGAAATACAAGGAGAAAAGAAAAAGAAGCAACAGTAGGTATTTTAGATGAGTTTTTATTTTCTACTATTGGTCTTATGCAAGCAAAGTAAAAGTAAATTCAAAAGAAAAATAATCACCTAAGATGAAAACATCTGGAGGAATTAAAATTTACTTTTGTAGGGCTGGTGGCGGCCCCCTCCCCTCCCTAGATCAAAAAGAGAAAACGCTCACGAGACCGGTCAAGGGAACCGCCAGGCCCCGCAGAGGGGCGCACCCGGAAGTCCGCCCCGGGCAGCCGCCCCAGGATCCCACAGGTTCCGCAGCCCCTCCGGTTGCTCAGCGACCGCCCAGGGTCACAGCAGAACCCCTGCTCTTCCGCCCAAAGGGCACGAAGGCCTCAGCCTTCCAACGGCCACTTATGGGGCCCCTCTTGGAGCCCCAGAACCTTGTCCATGAGTGTATAATAAAGCCACGTGGTCTGGCCCCACTCTTTCTGTCTTTTCTTTTCGCAGCTGCCAAAAAACCTTACACTTTCTTCTTTTCCTTTCCAGTGTCTGTTAAAAGAACTAATAACTTAAAAATAATCTGACGAGACTATAAGCAAATCTTTATGTTCCCCAAATTTTAAAAATGAATGAAAGGAGAAAATTCTGAATCCACATATCCGTGCTGGTCCGGAGGGATCCTGTCATCCCTAAGCTTAATTTGGGAACAAAATCACGCTTTTGATGAAAGCTGGCCCTCTCCTGCGCAGGTCTCCTTTCCAAGGCCATATTGGAGCCTGGGGCTTATTCCAAGAGCTCCTCCTGACACTAATGTCTGAAAGAAATTTGAGAGGTCGTCTCAGCATCGCAACATCGAGCGCCACCGTTTATAGTCCAAGAGACTTCTGGTAAGTCACAGCATCTCTTCCATCCTGTGAAGAACTGAGGCGCTATCAGTGCAGCGTTTTTTCCTGAGTTAAAGCATAGTGATTTTGAGTAGGGCAGCCATGTTCTCTCCCCAAAGGTTGCCTTTCCCAGCCTCCCTTGCAGCTGGATGGATCCTGTGGCTGCACTTCAGCCAGTGATATGTACAGAAAAGACTGTATGGTTTTGGAGCAGTCTCCTTACAAGGAAGGGTGTGGGCCCCTCTTCCCTTACTCCTCCTTACTGCCCAGAACACTTACGTGATTGATGGTTGTAGCAGCAGCAGCAATCTTGGCTGTCCTGCATCCTTGAGGATAAGCAGACTCAGACCCATGTTTACACTGTGGCTTTTCTGGGTTTGTCTGGGTCAGCACCTAGTCCTTCCCGATGAAGCCTTCCTTTTGCAGCTGCCCTGTGATCTCCAGGGAAAAACTCCACGTGGGCTGGTATGGCATACATTGGAGAGAAAGCTCCTTCCTGAAAAGCGACAGAGTGAAACGGGTGATATGGCCAAGCTCTGTACTAAGGAATAGAGGTGATTGCCATTTTTTCTACTTCTTACCTTTTGTTAGTGTTACACTAAACATGAACATTAAAACGGAAAGGTAAAAAAGGAAATGCCAAAGGGCATCAACAAGCAATTCAGAGCCAGAAATATGCTTCAGGCTGCATAGGAACATGACTTCTTGGTTATTAAATGAACAGATAAGATCTCTTTCTCTTTTCTTCTTCTCTTTCTTTCTTTCTTCTTCTTTCCTTTTCCTTTCTTCTTCTTCTTTCTTTCTTTCTTTCCTTTTCTTTTTTTTTTGAGCGATGGAGTACTCACTTTGTTGCCAGGCGTAGAGTGGCAGTGCCGTGGCGTTCGCAGCCTAGCTCACAGACCTTAAACTCCTGGCTCAAGCAATCCTGGCGGCCTCGCCTCCGAGTAGGCTGAGGGACTACAAGGATGGCCACATGTCAGCTAAGTCTGCTTTCGGTAGTATTTTAGTTAGCATTATTTCTTCGTATTTTATCAGTAGAGATGAGATCTCGGCTTTGCTCAGGCTGGGTTTCAAAATTCCTGGATGCTCGGCGATGCGCCCGCCTTGGGCTCCCAGGTGCAGATGACAGCGTAGACACCGGTCCAGCCTAAGATTCTCTTTTCTGTTATCAGTAGAAAGGTATATTTTGTACCATCGTACCAGTAGGAGAAGGCACTATGGCAGTTGTCATAAGGATACAGAAATCCTTCCTGGATCAGAGCACAAGTATGTGGGGTGGGAGACCAGGACAGGGGTGGAGATTGCTACTTTGTAGTTGAGAAGAACGAGACGAGTTAAGAAAACTGTATGGTAATATGAAGTATCGGTTTATGATGGCAAGCTCATCAAGTAAACCAGGGCACATTGGCGTGTTTAAAAGCGTCAGAAAAGCAGACCGCTAAAACATGTTTCCATGTGGGTGCCAATGAGGAAAAAGAAATAGGGGAACATTCATTCTATTTTATGAAATGAGGGGGTTGGCAGAGTAAGAGAAAGTTTCAATAGTAACGCAAAGCAAAACCTGCTTAGCAAGTCAGGTCTGGTAAACTTTTCTTCGTTGTTAAGAAGTTATACAGCAAAACTGGCCTGCCTCGGGTCTCATGGTCACTGAGGTGTAATGCCTACACCTGGGGGGGAGGCTGGAGGAAGGAGGATTGCTTGAGGTAGGGAATTCAGACAGCTGACAAGAACAGACCGCGGTCTCTATTAAAATAGAGAGCATGAAATTAGCCGGTCAATAAAATAGAAACAAAGATAGAGATATAGCTGGGTGTGGTACAAGCGCTGTAGTCCCAGTACTCGGGAAGGCTGACGCAGGATCCTGGAGCCGAGGGTTTGGGTTGCTGTCGGCTTAGGGTGACGCACAGGATTCTAGCCCAGTGTAGGACGACCTTCTCAAAAAAAAAAAAAAAAAGAAAGAACCTATAGCAACCATATTTAAAACTTCAGGAGAAACAACCAAACAAACAAAAAAACTTTTAGGAGTATCTTCTGTAAAACCAAGCACAAGATCAGATATGCACATCAAACATGGTTCCAGAGCCTGACAAAACTTTAAGATCAGAAAGAAAAAGAGGGAGAGGGAAGAAAAAAAAGAAAAAGGAAAGGTGGATGATAGGTGGAGAGATATAAAAATGGGAGGGAGGATCCAAAGGGGAATAACACCAGCCTGATTGGCAGGTGGCATGGTCACCCACTGAGAGCGTCACCAAATAGAAACCTGTTTCCTGCATTTCCTTCTGGAGCATCAGGAGGGTTGTCTTTAATCTGGGTGTCTGGCCCCCCTTGGCTTCAGGAAAGGAGACTGGAAACGTCCCCACAGCCGGGAAGTGTTGGTTTCCACCTCCACACCTTGGGGGCAGAATGCGAGGCAGGAAGACGGGACTAGCCCAGCTCCAAAAGTCACCTTTTCTACTCTTAATGTGTGTTTAATAGCGCTTGTATCACAAACATGTATATCTGTGTGTGTGTCACACATAACTCTCTCCACACATACACTTGACCAAAGAAATGCAAACTGGAGTTAGAAAAAGTGTTCACTCATGACATGAGCTCTCTTAGGTTCTACAGAAGAAAGATCAGTGGGAAACCACATGCTCTGGGGGGATGGGACCTTAGGATTTCACCCCATCTACACAGTGAGCAAACAGGCATGTGGAAGGGACCCCTCTTGTCAGTGTGTTAAGGAAAGTGGACCCCAACATTGGGGTCTGCTTGAAGACCAAGTGGGTTCTGGCTTCCCGCAAGAAGAAATTCAAGACCAAGCTGACAGAGTGAGGCAAAAGCAAGTTTACTGAGATAGAAAAAAAAAGTGGCTGACCCATAGACAGAGCAGGAGCTATCTCCCAGAGCAACAGAAATGAACATTTTGTGGGTTTCCGAGGTCTTATTTTATACCTTCTACTTATTTTTATGTTTGGTGAAGGGTGGATTATTCATAAGATTTCTGTGGATTCCCAGAACCACGGGTTCTTCCTCTTTGAAACCATACAGGGTAACTTCCTGGAGTTGTCATGGCATTTGTAAACTGGTGTGGTGGAAGTTTCCTTTAGTGTGCGAACACATTGTAGGCAGGGGATAATAAATGGATAGTGAGGGTAACTTGAGGTCATTTTTTGTGGCCATCTTGGTTTTATCTGGTTTTGGCACCAGTTTCGATGCTGTCTCCAGTTTAATTGGTGACCTTGATCTGGGTCTTATGACAGCAAAGCTTGCCCATCCCTATCTCAAGTACACATGTAGGTAAGAAGCCACATTGTTAGCAGGCTAATTTATCATCTAAGCACAATTATTTGAGTAAATAAAAACAAATTTTTTTTTTTTTTTGAGACAGAGTCTCGCTTTGTTGCCCAGGCTAGAGTGAGTGCCATGGCGTCAGCCTAGCTCACAGCAACCTCAAACTCCTGGGCTCAAGTGATTCTCCTGCCTCAGCCTCCCGAGTAGCTGGGACTACAGGCATGCGCCACCATGCCTGGCTGATTTTTTCTATATATATTAGTTGGCCAATTAATTTATTTGTATTTTTAGTAGAGAAGGGGTCTCGCTCTTGCTCAGGCTGGTTTCGAACTCCTGACCTCGAGTAATCCGCCCACCTCGACCTCCCAGAGTGCTAGGATTACAGGCGTGAGCCATTGCGCCCGGCCAAAAACAAAATGTTTATCAGACTAAATCATGAGATTGAGATGTACAATTATTAAAGAATTATTAAATAAGGTGCATTTTTCATATAGAAAGGAAAAAAGATTGGAGCAGCACTTGGTAATGTTATGTTTTTTAACTTATAAAAGATTAATTCTCGGCTGGGCACGGTGGCTCATGCCTGTAATCCTAGCAGTCTGGGAGGCCGAGGCGGGAGGATCACTTGAGGTCAGGAGTTTGAGACCAGCCTGAGCAAGAGTGAGACACTATCTCTACTAAAAATAGAAAAAAATTAGCTGAACAACTAAAAATATATAGAAAAAATTTGCCAGCCATGGTGGCACATGCGTGGAGTCCCAGCTACTTGGGAGGCTGAGGCAGGAGGATCGCCTGAGCCCAGGACTTTGAGGTTGCCTGACACTATGGCACTCTAGCCTGGGCAGCAGAGTGAGACTCTGTCTCAAAGAAAAAAACAAAAAAAGATAGTGACATAAAATTGGCATTTCCTTTCTCTCCACAATCGGTAAAGAGCACATAGGATAATCTTGTAATATACTAGGGTAAAGCTGAAAAGCAGAACCATCAAGTATGGAGGTACCATAACCAGGGCAGGGGAGAGACATCTCTCATCCAAAATTAGAACACCTACTCTGCAAAGTCAGAAATGGGGCACATCCGCTTTCTCCCAGGCCAAAAAAATATTCACAATAAAAAAGAACATGCTATAGCATGGATAAACCTTTAAAAGGTCATGCTAAGTGAGAGAAGCCGAACGCAAAAGGCCACTTAATGTCTGATTCCATTTTTATCAGTTGCTCAGAGAAAGAAATCCCGAGAGACAGGAAGTGGGTCAGTGGGTCCCTGGGCATTGGTGGGAATGGGGTGGTGGAATTCCCCAAAACTGGTTTGTGCTGATGGTTGCTCAATTTCATAAATTAACTAAAAATTATTGAATTTACTCTTAAAATGGGTGTTTTATGGGGGAGAGATGTGCACACACTGCATCCCAGGAGCACATCGGGCACAGGTGAGACGTCCCAGCAGGGTTGGCGTGGCCAGTGGGGAGGCTCCGTGGCCGGCAGGCTGGGTCCCTGTTGGACTCTGGTGCCCCTCGTTGGACCTTTCAGAGACCTTAGCCACTTTGTTTTCATAAACTGAAATGATAACACTTGCAGGCTGGTGGGCTACAAAGGAAATGCTGTGCCCTCCTGGTGGGACCCACCCACCCTTGGGGCCAGGAGCAAGGATCCCTGTGTGGCCTCAGATTGGCCAGGGGCTGCAGAATCCCCCAGCGCACAGCTCCCATGGACTCTTAGCTTCTTGAGCATTCACATTTAAAAAATAAAAAGAAGCAGGTGCAATTCATTTTTTAAAAATTTTTACTTAATTAAAAAAAATTTTTTTTTAGAGATGAGGTCTCATTATTGCCCAGGCTGGTCTCAAACAATCCTCCCTCTTTGGCCTCCCAAATGCTTGGATTACAGGCAAGAGCCACTGCACCTGCCCCCTATGTTTAGCTTTTTAGGAACCAACACACTATTTTCCACAGCATCTGCACCATTTTACATCCCAAACAGCAGTGCACAAGGATTCCAGTTTCTACACATTCTCACCAACACTCGTTATTTTCTATTATAAACAATTATAGCCATCATAGTAAGTGTGAAGTGGTATCTCATTGTGGTTTTGATTGGCATTTCCCTAGTAGCTAATGATGTTGAGCATATTAATCATGTATTTATTGGCTGTTTGTGTATCTTGTTAAATGTCTATTCAAGTCCTTTGCCAGTTTTTTTTTTTTTTCTTTGAGACAGAGTCCTCGCTTGGTTGCCCCAGGGCTAGAGAGTGCCGTGTGTCAGCCTAGTCCAGCAACTTC